GCACCCTTAAGTACATAAAGCCCTCAGCTGAGAAGAAATTAAGCCTTAAGTGTCACACTTAAGGAGCATATTTAAGCTGTTTTGCGCAACCGGTCTTTAAAAAAAGACAAGAGATAAGACCTGTTGGAGGTTTAGTTGACAGGGTTTTATATTTTTCCCAATATCTAAGCAATGATTAGCTGAGCATACAGAATCATCCATCTTCAGCAATTATAGCAGCACACACACGCATATGCACACAGCAGGAACTGAGGAAAGGTAAGCCAAGGAGCTGAATCGAGGCATGCAGCCAAAAATCGTGTGCATGCCCATGCCTTGCCAGCATAAAAGCCCCAGAGTCTGACAGTGAAGCATAAGTGTGTGAGTGTGATTAAAAGCATGAGCAAGGATGTATATTAATGTGTATATTAAAGCATTACGGTCACTGCCATGCTCTCTGTCTCTTTTCCTCTCTGCATTTTTACTACCACAAGGCAAATTTCCAAACAATACACAGACTTTAGGAAGACCACCTGATTTCACATTTTTAACAGTCTTGGGGGAAAAAAGGCACCAACTGTTCAAAGGCTGAAGTTTGGTGCTTTAAAATAAAATGGGTCAACCGCAGATTGCTTGGGGTGAATTATGTAAGCCAGACAATGGGATTAACTGAGCTGCCGAACGAGAGGTATCAGCTGACGATACTTTCACACAACTGTCTGTGTGTCTGTCTGAAGAGCACATACTGGCCCTGAGCAACCACTGTCCAGCCCTGCAGCTGCTGTTTTCCTCTGTCCGTCCCCATGTGACTCAAATGCATCACAAATTCGCTCTTTTTCTACGGGATGCAAAACAAGATGGTTTTTAAAAAAAAGCCTGACCAAACAGTGTTTTTTGGGTTGTTTTTTTTGCTTTCCTCACACCCTGCAGTAATGAAGGACATCTCAATATCTCATGGAGCAGGCAGCAGAGACATGGCGTCCTGTAACTCTAGAAGAGAGTTCATCCTGAGACAGACGCTGGCAGGCCTCTGAACACTTTAAAAGTGTCCACTCTCTCTCAAAGGAAGGGGGTAAAAACGTGTTAAGATTCACATTTAAACTGTACATTATTAATTCTTACATTATTTATTCATTGTAATAAATGAATAATGAACTTCTTCAAATATTATAATATGAAATAATATCACAAAATAGCTGCTATTTATTATAGTAACTCCAAATATCCTTCATCCATGGACGGGTTATGAGAAAACAGGCTCCTGGATACAGACATGTAACAGCCCCCCCACAACGCAGCAATACACCCCAATGTTTTTTGTCTCTTTGTGGTCAGTCTTTGTGTTTTTTGTGTCTCTTTGTGGTGGTTTTGCATCTCTTCGTGTTCATTTTCTGTCTCTTTGTGGTCATTTCCGTCTCTTTGTGGTCATTTGACAACAAGAAACGTTGCTTCATTCAGAGGTTCTGGTCCAGGTGCCCTGGGCTTGTACCCGGTAGGCCTGTTAAATAATCCATCCATGACAGTAAGAAGCCAACTACCTATAACCTTCTGACTCTGGTTGGGGGAGGGAGGGCAATCAGATCGACTTAGCAGTCAGATTTCGAGAGGAGGGCATGACACCCCTGGCCAGTGCTGGTGAACCCAGTGACCCAGGCCCTAATGACTCCTGCAGCATACTTAAGTCTCACTATTCAATCAGGTGTACAGACAAACATGAATGTGTACCCTTTCAGTTGAAGAAGTCTGGCTAAATCTGGAGAATATCAGACTTTAGGAACAAACAGCCAGAATAACAAACCCTCCCTGCCTGTGTTTTCCTCTGTTTGGTCTCATTAAACCGTCTCCATTTCAACCCCCTTTTTGACAGAGGAGATCTGCTTTCCTAGTGGTCTGACAAGCTGCCAAATGGAGCACATGAGCAGGCTGCTGAGACTCCTCTGAGACATCCTAGAAACCATTACTCACTATCCAGGTCAACTCTGTGTTCACCGTTCACCAAAGAGGCTCGCTGTCTGTAACCGCACCGTCCAACCCTCAGCAGCCGGAGGAACGTGGAGGAAGGAGGCAGGTCTGACTCAAAAGCCATTACAGTCAGACTTCTTGCCAACAGATAATGCTGTTGGTGTTGTGGCGGAGGATATAAATTCAGGTAATGAAGCCCGGCAACTACATGAGCCTGAGGCTATTACAGTAAGTCTTTAAGATAGTGCTGATAGAGTGATAGTGGTGGAGTCAGATAATGAATCTCATAGGATGGCTTAATCCTATTCTACACACCCTGTGATAATGTTATTAAAAACTCCTTCACAATAAAAGCAGGTTGTCAAATGCTTCTAATTATGTCCGTGCTGTGATGTGAAAAAAATGTGTATTTCATGCATACATTGTGACTTCCTTGTAACAATATGCTGACAATCCCTGGGTGAACTGTTACTGTCATGTGACTGACACTGTCCACACACTGCATAAACAACAAGACAGTCCTCTGCATCCAAAAGAGGGGGAAAAAATCATCAGCCTGGACCACAAACTGCTGAAACAGAAATGTCTCCACACCCCATCACACACACAAAAAGCCACACACACACACACACCAGTCAGAAGCATTTCCCCCTCATACACACACACACACACAGACACACACCTACTCCTCATACTACCCAGACAGATGGTTTCTTACCTATGCAAAGCTGCAAAACATAGGCGTAGTATGACCAAGCCACTATGAGGGCGATGAAGACGACCGGGATCCAGTACAAAACTCTCTGACAGCCCTTCTTGATACTACGCGAGCCCGACGGTGCCATAGTCTAGGAGCGGATCATTTCTCGTGCGCAATCCTGTGTTTACTCTTCCTCCGGCTCCCTCTTCTCTCTGTGTGTGTGAGTGTGTG